ACCGGTGCTTTCAAGCTAGCAATGTATCTGGCCCACCAAAGACTGCTGGATGAAAATGTGGATGTGATAGTACTGCTAATGCTGGAGCCTGTCCTGCAGCATTCTCACTTTCTGCGCTTGAGGAAGCGACTGTGCGAGAGCAGTGTTGTAGAGTGGCCGCGAACAGCAGCCGCAGAGCCCTGGTTTTGGCAAAACCTGCAAAGTGTCATAAGAGTAGATAATCAAGTGATGTACAACAAGACCTATTCAAAATACTTCACCACCAAGTGAAGAAGGATAATAACGAGTTTGTTTTAAAACACGTGTGTTATATATAATTTCGAGTTTGGTTTTAAAGTGTTTCTTCTTTGACTGAACAGTTTTTAAGAACTGGTTTCCTTATAGTTGCCAAGACAGCATAATGAATTTTTGTAATGTGTGTGAAGTACATTAATAAATGAAACCATATAAAAATGTGAGGCAATTTCTGAATGTAAATTTTACAGTCTACACTCTCGTTTCAAACTTAGAAAAGATCTGTGCTGAGGGACACCATTACCAGGTTCAACAGTTCCACAAAAGATCAATTTCGAGCAAAATTGACACATCCTAAACTTTACTCCATCACAGAGTTTCCCAGAATCCACACAGTATGACTGGTTAGAACTAGCATGTTCTGTGTTTGCCTGCTATTAAATTATCCACGTGGTGGCAGCAGTGATGCAGTTACAGCTTGCAAATTAACCCTAAAGTCAATGTCCCACACAGAAACACATCAGTTTGTCAGTAGATATATTAACAATGCAATATTAATGCACTTTGTTTTTTTGGAAGTCTCGTAATCCATTACATGAAAATGAGTTATGAAGTTGCATATTTATTGCAAATTTAAAAAATTGTAATTTATCAAGCTGAGACTTTTAGTCACATTTACTCCATCGTAACGATGCCTGAATGGTGCTTGCAGTCATGGAGTTTGCAATTTTAGCCATAAAGTCACTGTCCGACTGAAAAATACATCAGTTTGTGAGCAGATGGATTATTAATTTAATATTAATGACTAATACAGTGTTAATTTTAAATTCCATTTTCATTCACACCGTTTTAGAGATTTGACTGGCACTCATTGGTATGCTCACTGGAGATTTTAACGTACAGCTCAGTTGGCAATGAAACTGTGACAATGCTTTGAAAGAGAGAAATGAAACAGATGTAGTTCTTCAATTCATCAGCTTCCTTCTTGGGGACATAACAACATGCTACTTCCTTCACAAACGCTATCATGTTGTTAACAGTTTGTTACTTCCTTATTTGACTTTAGTTAAAGAGTTTTCTTTAACTGTCTAGAGACAAAGAGCAAAAACTTCAAACAGACGAAATTGTTATAAATTCATGCTTTAAAAGACAAGCAGTATTTAACTTTACTAAATCTAAAGAAAATAAACTAATTTTTTTTTTTTCAACGAATGACTGAAAGATTTTGAAGTACTGGAGCATGACAAAGGTTTTCCAGATTGTCTTTCAGGGAACAATACAATAGGAACACAATGGTAAGTCTTTTTATTTTCTCTGTTTAGTAACTTAGATTTTTACTACAAGTAAAGAGATCTGTCTTATCTTTGATTCTTTTCTAGTTGTTGTGTTTCATAGATTTGACTCCAAAAACCTGGATAGTTTGGTTAATTCAATTTTGGAAGTGGCCCTTGCTTTTTTGAAAATGTGTTAGACCATTGCATTAAATTGTACATTAAAAGTGACCCAGAACTGTTTAGAAAAATGCTCCATCATGATTATGTCTGTGAAGGTTCTCAGTCATCCAGGTCATCGTAGTCAAAGGAGCTTGCAAAGAAAAGCGTCTGGACTTCTTTAAGTTACTTGAAGACG